CCTGCCTGGCAGGATGATACCAGTGGGAAGAGGGGAGAGGATATGGGGTTAGGGTGTAGGAGAGTGAATATGGTGCCAATATTGTGTATGTTTTATATATATATATATATATGTGTGTGTGTATGCAAATGTGTTTATGTATATGTACATGTAAATGTATATACATGTATGTGTGTTTATGTATATATATATATACACATATGGAAAAATGAGACCTGCTGAAAATATTCCAGGAATGGGGCGGGAGGGAGAGGGAGGGAATAAAGGAGAATGATGAAGGGGATAGAAGAACTTTTTTGTAACTATCACAATGTACCTCCAGCACAATTTTTAAAAGTCATGAAAACCACATCCTGCCACTTAGTACTTGATAAATGTTGCTTGTCATAATGCTTCATGATCTTTTTTCTGACTTCCTGATTGCCCTACTGCCCATACACCCACCTGGGAGCAATAATCTTTTCTGGTCAGCGCTACCTACTTCAGGAGTCACATGCACTTGTCTCTAATTATAAAATCAAATGCCTCCAGTCATCTGGCAACATGCTCTCTTAGTTCAGTGATAAACAATGAATGATTAGAAAAATGTCAAAACTCTTGTCCACCAAGTGCTGCCCAAGTATGGCAATACATTGCTAATGTTTAATCATTTTCATAGCAAGCTACTTTAATTTCTTTCAAGACAAATCAATCTTACACCTTAAGAACAGTTTTTTATACAGAGAAGATAGGAAGAAAGTCGCAATCGTCAATTGTTCTCCATATAAATATCATATGGCCCAGAACACTTTCTCCATCATACCCGTACTTGTTTTTAATAGACTATAAGACATAGTCTTCAATCATTAGGTGATATATGCTAATTGTTACTTGACCCAGAAAAGTCTATATAAGCTTGGGGAGTGAGTTTTCTTAAAGTTGTATCTCTTTCCTGACTGGAAAATTGAAGTCTGCATTAATTCTTAACAACACGAAGGTAAGTGAAAGTCCTTCAAGTTTTCCAAGGATAATACATTTTAGAATAGAATTAATATTTTCAATAAATTCAAACAGATTAATAGAGCAATCTGTAATGCCCTTTGTCCTTGCTCCATCTTAAAGGTAGCTTTCTAGATAAACTACAGGACAATCCTTTCTGCCCATTATTTTTGTTGTTGTTGTTGTTCCTCTACTGAGAACCAGACTCCCTGTCAGACAAGACTGGGACTGGGCTCTTTGACAGGATGATTCTGGCACCACTTCCTGTGCAGCAGTCGTATGTTTACTAGTCAGGCTCCAGAACTAGAATCTGTCTTCCTCATGATGGAGGAGACTGTAAATTAGCAACTTTGAAGCTCAACACCTAATGCTTGGAACCTAACTTGGGCTTTTTTTGTTCCTTCCCTTCTGAAACCCACATAAATATTTCCAGTGATCTTTTGTCAAAAACACTCCCCTTTCTATTATATCTCCATGGAAATTTCTGATTAGACAGGGCTATCAGCAAGATGACAGCACCTTGTATCCATTGGCATCCTCAGTAAGACCCCAGGCACAATTCAAAGTTAATTCCTGACTGATTGAAGATGAAGAACTCAAAGACAACTCTTTTTTTTTTTTTTCATTTTTCTTTTATTAATCAATTATGTGCATACAAGGCTTGCGGTTTCTTTGTCTCCCCCCCTGGCCCCACACCCCTCCCTTACAACCCACTCCAACCCCTCTCGTCCCCCTCAATACCCAGCAGAAAGCTATTTTGCCCTAACTCTAATTTTTGTTGTCGAGAGAGTCAAAGCAAGTAATAGGAAGGAATCAAGGGTTTTTTGCTGGTTGAGATAAGGATAGTATACAGGGCATTGACTCGACATTGATCTTCCTGTGCGTGGTGTTACCTCTAGGTTAATTTCCTTTTTGATCATACCTTTTCTGTAGTTCCTGGTCCCGCTTTTCCTATGTGGGCCCTCAGTTGCTTTAAGGATTCTGCTTTGTTTCTCTGCATTAAGGGCAACAAATGCCTGAGCGTTAGTGTTTTTAGGTGTCTTACCTATCCTTCACACCCCTCCCCTGTGCTGTCTCTTGGCTTGTATCATGTGGCTCATAGTCCAATGCTGCCCTTGTTGTGTTTGCCCTTGATCTAATTGGTCCCATATGAGGGAGAACACTATGTTATTTGGTCTTTTGAGCCAAGGCTAAACCTCACTCAGAAAATGAGTGTCTCGGCAATTCCCAGTCCGATTTACCAGCGAAATGATAACATTTCGTTTCTTCTTCATGGGATGCAATAACAATTCCATTGTGTATAGATACCCACATTTTCTAATCCATTCGTCAGTGCTGGGGCATCTTGGCTGTTTCCATACTTGCTATTGTGAATAGTGCGCAATAAACAATGGATGTGCAAGGTGCCTTGGAGTAAAGTCCTTTTGGGTATATCCCAAGAGTGGTATTGCTGGATCAATGGTAGATCGATGTCCAGCTTTTTAAGTAGCCTCCAAATTTTTTTTCCAGAGTGGTTGTACTAGTCTACATTCCCACCAACATGTAAGAGGGTTCCTTTTCCCCGCATCCTCGCCAACACTGTTGTTGGTGGTGTTGCTGATGATGGCTATTCTAACAGGGGTGAGGTGGAATCTTAGTGTGTTTTAATTTGCATTTCCTTTATTTGCTAGAGATGGTGAGCCATTTTTCATGTGTTTTTTGGCCATTTGAATTTCTCTTTTGAGAAAGTTCTGTTTAGTTCACCTGCCCATTTCTTTATTGGTTCATTAGTTTTGGGAGAATTTAGTTTTTAAGTTCCCTGTATATTCTGGTATCAGTCCTTTGTCTGATGTATAGTTGGCAAATATTTTTCCCCACTCTGTGGGTGTTCCTCTTCAGTTTAGAGACCATTTCTTTTTGATGAACAGAAGCTTTTTAGTTTTATGAGTCCCATTTATCTATGCTATCTCTTAGTTGCTGTGCTGCTGGGGTTTCATTGAGAAAGTTCTTACCTATACCTACTAACTCCAAGAGTATTCTACCTTCTTTCCTGTATCAACTTAGAGTTTCGGGGCTGATATTAAGATCCTTGATCCAACTTTGAAGTTAATCTTGGTATAGGGTGATATACATCGGATCTAGTTTCAGTTTTTTGCAGACTGCTAACCAGTTTTCCCAGCAGTTTTTGTTGAAGAGGCTGCTATTTCTCCATCGTATATTTTTCAGCTCCTTTGTCAAAGATAAGTTGCTTATTAGTTGTGTGGCTTCATATCTGGATCCTCTATCTGTTCCACTGGTCTTCATGTCTGTTTTTGTGCCAGTACCATGTGTTTTATTATTATTGCTTTGTAATAGTTTGAAGTCAGGTATATGTGAATACCTCCTGCATTGTTCTTTTGACTGAGTAATTGCCCTTGGCTATTCGTGGCCTCTTGTGTTTTCCATATAAATTTAAACAGTAGATTTTTCAATCTCTTTGATGAATGTCATTGGGAATTTTGATGGGAATTGCATTAAACATGTAGATTACTTTTGGGAGTATTAGACATTTTTTACTATGTTTGATTCTACCAATCCATGAGCATGGGAGATCTCTCCACTTTCTATAGTCTTCCTCAATCTCTTTCTTCAGAAGTGTATAGTTTTCCTTGTAGAGGTCTTTCACAATCTTTTGTTAGGTTTACACCTAGGTATTTGATTTTTTTTGAGGCTATTGTAAATGGAATTGTTTTCATACATTCTTTTTCCGTTTGCTCATTGTTAGTGTATAGAAATGCTAATGATTTTTCTATGTTGATTTTATATCCTGCTACCTTGCTGTAGCTATTGATGATGAAAGACAACTCTTTTTACCAGACTCAACTTTTGCCCCTTTTGGAGGGGAAGGGGTGCTAGATTACTTAGTATTTAAGACTTTAGATAGTAAAGTCATGGTGTGGATTCAATTTCCATCTTTGCTATTATTAACTCCGACCATGAGCTGGCTTACTGAGCCTGTTAGTAGCTGATAGCTGTTTTTTCACCTTTAAGATAGGGTAGTCATTTTGAGCATTATAAGACTTAATGAACACTGAGTACTTAGGATATGCATGGTATATGGAAAGAGTTCTATGATATTAATAATAATAGTAGTGAAATACCATTATTACTATCACTATTATTGTTATTACTATTATCATGGCAGTGGTGATTTCCTCAAATGGCTCCAGTCAATTTTAATATGGACTTTGTGTATGCCCATATCTAATTTCTACATAAAGTGATTGTGAAAGAATGCTCCAGTATAACAGAATTTAATTATCAAAAATTAAGGAAATGTGACCAAATACAAAACTTCTCTATTTTTTTAAAGGTGAGTCTAAGAAAAGGACACATTATCTCTAAGAAAAGCCCACTCTAATGGTAAGAACCTGGATAATAATTGAGGAGACCTCTGTCCCTGATTCCAACATTGCCTATTTTAGTAGCTAGTTGTGTGACTTTGAATCAAGTCTGCTTGATATTTGTTGTTACAGTGTCCTCATACAAAAGAGCAATATCTTCTCAAAGACATTGTGTAGGGAGCAGGTGACATATATTATTTGTAGTATAATAGTATTATATAAACAACTGCCTAATGAAAAGTAAAATTATATTAGATATAAGATCATCAACTATGTTCATGTAATAGAAAAATGACTGCACTGAGAATCCAAAGTCTTAGTTTCTTTGCACATAAGGCTGGGCGAGTAAAGGCACAAAGACTTCGTGTCTTAACTATAAAGTTCTCCTGGTAGCCTGTGACCCACATATCAGTCAAATAGATTATGTACAAGAAAGGGCCTTATAAATTGGACAGTGATAACATTAAATATTCTCATAATTTCTGTTCATATAATTTAATTTTTTCAGCTTTTGCAATTGTTGCTAAAGCATATAATTTGGGTAATTACTGTCTCAAAAGTAAATTCCCCTGTATAATTCATGTGCGTTGTAGTTATTGTAATATAATGACTTTACTACCTACCTTTTTCCCTAACAGAACATTGCTTTCTCTGGTCAACATGAATGCAATGGTGGACACTGCCATTTTCGGGGGGAAATTTCTATATTACTTTTTAGAATCTTCAGTTTTTAAGGTAATTCCCAAGAGAAAAAAAGAGTGCTGCTGGAGAGATTGTACTTATAACAGGAGCTGGAAGTGGACTCGGGAGGATATTGGCCCTACATTTTGCCAGCCACGGAGCCATTTTAGTTCTCTGGGACATTAACCAAGAAGGCAATATGGAAATATGCAGACTGGCCAAAGAAAAGGGTTGTATAAAGGTGTTTGCCTATAAGTGTGACTGTAGCAACAGGCAAGAAGTCTACAGAGTTGCTGATCAGGTAAGCTGACTGGTATTATTTATTTCAGTGCCTGAAAAATACTGCATCTAGTATGCACGCTTACCAAGTATGGGAAGAAAGACTTTTTGTCGTGGTTTTCCACAAGATCTCTGTATGTTTCCAGCTAGATTCTGCATGTCAGAAATATGACTGCATGACCTCTGAAAAGGAGCATAGTATAAAACAGTACAAGTGGGGACTTGATCAGTCTTCAGAGTCCAGGGTTGCCAGACTGCTTTGCTTGGTGACTCACCAAGTGAAGTTTCTACCAAGTTGGTAGAAACTGTGTCAAGTCCTGGCTCTGCTGCTTATTGACTGCAATTTTTACCAACTTCCTTACTCTCTTTCTCAATTCCTGTTTCTTCATCTGTAAAAATGAAAGAATTGAACCAGGTGAACTTGAAGATCATGGGCAGCTTTAACTTTCTATGTTTTAAGGTTCTAATGTCTCTAAAATTCCATCCTGCTGTGTGGCAATTCCGTGGTCATCATCTGAGACTATAAAGTATGGAGAATTGGGTAGAAGCATTTAGCAGATTTTTAAAACAAGTTTCTTCTTAGATTTAACCTACTGATATCTGTTCTAACTTCATGCTAAATACTGATAAATACTCTAATAATAATAGCTAAGAGTGTGTAGTTATCACAAACTCTAACAACAATGAATAAGCTTTGAGGAAGTATTTTAACAATGAGGGATGTGATGAGTGAAGCCTATTCAGATCAAGAGAGAGGTATGCAGGACCACCAAGGGAGCATCAGGTGGGTCACAAGGCAGAGAGAAAATAGGGATAGCAGACAAGTGCCTTTATTGTGGTTTCTGCAGGAAAGAACAGGTAATACAGGGTAAACTGGCTTAGAATTGGCTAACTTGAACAATTTCAGGGGTGCTTTAGGGCATACAGACTGTCTCTAGTTTTCTGGAAGCTGGTAGTTATGGTAAGCATACAGTAGCCCAGAGTGTGAGAACCTAATAAAGAGGAGTGGTGGGACTTAACTGCCCACCCAAAAGAAAAAAATTCTTGGCTGACCTCTAGCCAGGGCCACAAAATTGAGTCAAAAAAAAACATACAAACAGGAAAAATAACAACTAGGGATGGTGGAGTGGCTCAAGCAATAAAAGTGTCTGCCTAGCAAGCATGAGGCCCTGAGTTCAAACCAGTGCCACCCAAAAAAGAAAAAAAAAACAACTATATTACAATTAGTTACTATTCTAAGCAATTTGTGCACATAACTCACACCATGATCCCCTTAGTTGTACACCATTACATCCCCATTAACAAATAAGGAAACCAAGGAAAAGAATGAATGTACAACTTGCCCAAGATCACAAAACTAGTGTTTGCAACCCAGGTACCTAGGAGCTTCGGGGGCATACAATTTCATAATGAGGTCTCCAAGAGCTTTTCTTTACCCTTTTGCAATCTAAATTCCATAAATAGAATTCACTTATTGATTCGTTCAAAGATTAGTGAATCACTATTCTGTGACATGGACCTCTGAACCTCCCTCTTCACTCTTCTCCTTTGCTTTCTATTACGACCTTCTTTGGGGGCCCCAGAGGATTTGTTCTTTATAACTCATTGCTAAGTAATGAGGGTATGCATATTATAACTCCCCACGTGCGTTTTAGTACAGAGTAAATACAATCAAAGCTAGTCCTCATTTTGCAAAAGGAAAAGAAATATGACAGGAAAATCTTCCAGATGAGAATCTTTGGAGTGAGCTCAAGAATGTCATCTGCACAGTGGGAGCTCAGGTTCCAATAGCATGTACTACTCACATCAGGGCCCCTGAAAAAGCCTTCTGTTCTGATCTGTCATATATAATCTTCACAAAGAAGTAGACACTACTTTTTTTCTCCATTTTACTAATGATGAAACAGAGGCAGAGAGAGTTTAAGGAACATAGCCAGATCACGGAGCAGATAAGTGATAGAGCTTAAGTGTGACCCCATCTTCTGGGGATGAGAGTCCCTGTTGCATCCCCAATGGGGCATCAGTAAATGGGTCAGCAATGGAAAGACCCCTCATAACCTCCTCTCTGTGTTCCCTATCCTCTCACATTCCAATAAATCTTTCCTTTTTAGATAAAATTTTCTTGATAGCCTTTAGAAAAGCAGCCTAAAATCTTTAATCAAAAATAAATTTTCAAGCTCTGGTTGTGGTAGTGTATGCCTATAATCCCAGCTGAAGCAAGAGGATTGACAGCTCAAGGCCAGCCTGGGCTTCATAGTGAGTTCCAGGCCTGCCAGAGCTATATAGGGACACAGTCTCAAAAACAGTGTAATTACAAGTGTTATTATTATTTTACCATTGCAATGTATGTGAATCTTTCCTTATTTTCCATGATCCTATAAATACAGCTTTTCTAAGCCAACTACTCTTTTTGCTTCCTGGCTTAATTTTAATTCTTTATCACCACTCAGGAAATACAAATGCTAATGGTAAACTTTACCTACAAGAATTTCAACAAACTACAAGCCTTACCTAAATCCTTGAAATTTGTAGGATACTCAAACAGCAATGGCAGTATTCTAATGTGGCATATTAATTAACTTTCCATAACTAGATGGAGATAACATTCTCATGTCCACCACAGGAAGAATATACAGAGCTGGGCATAGTGGCCTGTGTCAGTAATCCCAGCACTCAGGAGGCTGAGGCACTTGGATCATGAGTTCAAGTCAGTTTGGGCAATACAGGAAGAACCTGTTGAAGAAAGAAAGGAAGGAAGGCAGGGAGGGGGATAGGGGACGGGGGAGGGGGGAAGGAGAGAGGAAAGTCAATATACAAATAGTTTCTGTTAAAATAACGAACTTCACAATTTATTTCCAAAGTCTCAAGTCTAATCAATCATTAGTATTCATTGTGTGTGTGTGCACACGTGCACATGCACTCTCGTGAGATCTGTTTGTTATAGCGCTAATTTTGGCCTATGAAGAACAGTAAATTTGGGTGACAGCAGCTTTCATGAGTGAATCGAAATTGAGTGTGAATCACACTGCCTCTCAAAAGTAACAAGTCTTTTGGCAAAAATGGTAATTTCTCTGAATCTGATTCCTCTTCATAAACTGGAATAATAATGCTTTCTTAAACTGCCTATCACAGTCCAATGAAAAGTAAGTCCCATGGTGGAGATGAAATTCCTCCTGGCTCTGGTGTCCCTTAGACTCAGGGCTTCTTATTGGATTAATTGACAGTGACCACTGGGTCTAGGTATTTGGGGATGTTTTGCACCAAAGATTCTATGTCCTTCTCTCTTTTGTGGCCCAGGTACCTTTCTCATTGCTCTAGGCTTGAGCCCCTATGCACACTAATTTCCTCAAAGCCAATGGGATGTCCTTCTAAAATCTAGCCTCTTCTGGATGTTTTCCTCAGGTCTACCTCTCTTCAACATAGAAAAATCTAATCCCCCAGCCCCAAATCAGCTCAGCAAAATTAACTTCTTTTCATAGGTCATCTCACTCAACTCCATCAATGAAAATTTTTCTCTCTTCCCTCCAAATTATGCTATCCGGCAGGCTCAACACACAGCGGTGTGTAGGCTAGAGATCAGAAAATCAAGTCAGGGCAGGCATTGCTTCTTGTTCAAAAATAAAGAAAGAGGATGTCAGACCTTCCAAAAGATTCAATTCAGGGGGAAAAAAGTCTTCAAATCATTGTGTAAACATGCTTCCTACCTTGCCCAGAATCAGATCTATCACTGTCACCTACAAAGCCAAAATGGTAAGAGAGAAAAACAGATTTCTCCAGTGCTTCTTGGAAAGTGCTTTGCAGGTCTTGTGGTGTAAGATGAATTTCACAAGCAGGCAAGGTCGGCTAATCGGTAAGGAAGGGTGAGAATGCATGAGTAGCACAACTGTGGAACTCAGAAAGTATCAGTCACAGATTTGAGGCAGTCCTTTGGACAGAGTACTTGGTATCACAGACGTTGATGTGCACTGGATCAAACACATCCATATTTGGGATGTCTTCATTTCAAGGACTTGCCTGTCTGTTAGGGGACATGATGTGCTTATGTCACCTGCTCATGGTGAAGTCAGGAAATGACACCTACAGAAGTGACCATTAGACATCTACCATGCTGAGAGAAAATCTAACGTCTACTTAAAGGAAGATGCTAAGAGGTACAACAGGGAGAGAGTGTCACTCAGACTTCACTGTCTTCAGACTTCACTGACCCAGCAGGGTCGTCTCCACACAACAAAACAAGATCATTTAAACAAAATTGCCGAATTAAAGTGTGTTTTCTTAAAAACACAATTGACCAAAAATATCTTAAATTGCTGCATTTCATTATGAACGACAAAAGTAAAATATCTAGTTTTAAAGAAAGCACAGTTTTGCATTGCTTAACAACAACATCACCAGGTGATTTTATTGTGCAAACATCATAGATTGTACTCAAACCAGGATGGCTCTGATGTCACTAGACATAATTTTGGACCACCATTACATATGTGGTCCATCACTGATCTGAAATGTCATTATGCAGTACATGTCTCCACCTGAATAAAGTCAGGAAAAAATAGTGACTTGGAAAAGTAAATATCAAAATGTCTCACCTCAATTAATTTCATGTTTGCCTCCCTTCTGGCTAGGTCAGAGAAGAAGTTGGCGATGTGACCATCCTCATAAACAACACTGGCATTGTAACAGGGAAGCTCTTCCTTGATATTCCAGATCACATGGTAGAAAGATGTTTCAATGTCAAGGTCATCTCTCATTTCTGGGTAAATCTTTCTTTCTTATTTTCCTTTATTGGTAAGTATGAAAACCTCTATGCATTTTGATAAGCAACTGCTCTGCCATTTGTCTGCAAATTTACCATTTGGGTGTTTTCCACTGATAGACTGATAGGATCTCATCCTTTCTAGGCCTCCCCCCTGCCATACCCTGCTTGGTTTGTCCTTTGTCCTGGTTTTGCCCTACTCCAAATTCTTAGGAAAACTTCCTCTCCTTTACCTTCTCCATATTGGTCCTAAGACTTATTAGGCTGACCCAGAAATCTTCCTACCCTAATGCAACCTGAAATATCTCAGCAATTATATGAGAGGTTTAATTTGATTATGAGTGAAATAAGAGCTTATGTAGAGAGGTGCTATTTTTAGTGATGGTAGTTTGTGTGCACAAAAACTGGGCATGAAAATGAAGGAAATGAAGACAGGAGGAAAAAGAGCCAACATATATTGAGTACTTACTCTACATCAGGCTCTGTTCTAAGTCTCTTAACTGCAGAGGCAGCCATGGCACCATTTCATTCTCATTTTACAAATGAGGAAACTGAGGCACAAAATATTTAAATGAATTTCTCAAAATCAAGCAACTGTTAAATAGTGACCCAGTCTTACAAAGGGAAGAGGTGAGAGAGAACAGAAAGATTCATTACAGAAGGGAAATTAGTGAATTTGTATCTTAGGAGTGTCCTGCCCAAGGTCTGACTAGATTTCATTGTCCAGCGGAACTGTCATTCATGATGGAAGTCTCTATCTGCTTCCCAGTATGGTAGCCACTGGTCACCTGTGTCTATTGAGCACTTGAGACATGATTGATGGGATGGAGAGACTAAACTTAATTTTATGTCAGTTAATTCATTTAAGTGTACATTTAAATAGCTACAGATACTTAGGGGCCACTGCCTTGAACAGTGCAACTCTAGAGTGAGTAAAAGGTAAAGGAGGCTGGAATTCTAGAGGCATTTTCACTGGGAAGGTTTACACTTGATGCTGGGATGGAAAGAATAGTGCCAGCAGTGAACAGAGTGTGCAGGAAGTACAGGTGGTTAAAACCAAGACCATGGGAGACATGGTGTGGGGGAGGCAGAGCCTTTCTCCTCTATGTCTCTAAGGAACCTTGGAATGGGTTTCCACTCAACACTATTATATACTCTCCACAATCCTCAGAACTATTTCCTTTGTCTTCTTTCTTAGTTACCAGGAAGCAATAGGAAATCCTTCTGGAGCCCAACAAATCTATCTCAGCTAATACTAATTGAGCAGCTAAATGCTTGACATACAATAGATATTCCACAAACATCTGAGAAAACCATTGCTTTCCTTCCCTCTATCACCCCATCCCAAAACTTTTTCTTTTGAAAAGGGTTTCCCCATCTTGGTAGATGGAGCTAGGATATACCCATTCTTAATCCAAGTCACAGATCTGGAGGTCATCTTGATACTTCCTTTCCCTTAACACCAGCATCCTCGGCTCTCCATGCTGAACATGTTCAAGCGAATGTCTCTTCATCTCTGCTGCCAGCCCCTGGCTCCAGCCACCTTCGTCCCTCACTGTAGCTTTTCATGGCCTTCCATCTTCAACACTGGTGCCTTCTGATCCATCTTCATATGAGAGCAAGGTGACCCTTTCAGTGCATTAATCAAATCACCTCACTTGCCTGCTCAAAAATATTTAGAAGCTTCCAAGTGTAGTTACCTAAATACAGTATTCTGTATATACCCTAGCTGAATACATGTAGTTAAAATGGCATACAGTTACCTGACACAGCTTGTAACCCCTGGCACGACAAGGAAATATCCTCCCCTATCTGTCTCCCATCTCATTTTCTCTACCTTCTGCTCACTTTTGTGGGGGAGAAGGGACAGTATTGAGGTTTGAACTCAAGGCCTCACACTTGCCAAGCAGTTTCGGTACCACTTCAGCCAAGTACCCAGCCCTTTTTGCTTTAGTTGTTTTTCAGAAAGTTCTCAAATTTTTGCCCAGGGCTGGCCTTGGACCTTGATCCTCCTACCTACCATCTCCTGCAGAGCTGGGATTACAGATGTGAGCTATCACCCAGCTTGTTGGTTGAGATAGGGTCTCACAAACATTTTGCCTGAGCTGGCCTTAAACCAAGATCTTCCTAATCTCTGCCTTCTGAGTAACTAGGATGGCAGGCATGAGCCATTGCCTAGTCTTACACTTTCATATTGTGTACCTTGAATCATTTACACAGTCAATAGTCAAAGGTATCAATAAACACAAACCAGCCTTCTTAGTTTATGTTAGCAAATTTAGAGAGCTGATTCTCAGCAACCACTAAAATCAGGGAATCTATTTCCATCTGAAAATTGTGGAAGGGATCTTCACTCACTTCTAGAATTCCAGAGATTTAAATTTTTTTCTGTTCCTCTTATTATTTGTTTCCCTATTCCAAAGCTAAGAAACCAAATTCAAAACATATGTCTGTACCAGGCTTTGCCTGCAAGAAATGGCCTCTCCTATACCTATAAGTCTGGGTGAGGACCTGTGAGCCACAGAACAGGTAATTAAAGTTTCCTGGGTAGGTAGTATGTAGGTGTCACTTGCACATATGAAATACAATCATTCTTCCTTGAGAGTGGGTTTGTCATACATGACTAAATGAAACTTATTCTTAAAAATGACACACTGATACTCTGGTTGCTCTATCAAACTCTTCAATTATATCCTGGAGAAAAGATGGACTTATTCTTAATGAACAAACACAAATAGGTACACCATCATAAAAGATCTTATTAACAGACATTATAACAGAATCTGCCTATTTCCCTTACTACACTTGTGGAAAAGCACAGTGGATATCTTTCATATTATCTATGAAATGGTTTGATTATCAATGTATGGTGGTTAGACTAAGTCAAATTTCATTTCATGTATTTTCCTAAGCTTAACCCATCGTGAAACCATTCACCTGAATTCCAACTGCTAGTCATCATCATCCCTACATTCTTCTGATGATTCACTCAGTTTGTAATATAAACTAAGATTCCCTAGAAGATACTTTCCCCTAAAATATGAGGGTATCAGTTAAGTGCCATTCAAGAAGAGTTTCATTCCAGCTGGTATAAGTATAGCTTCCTAAATAGGGAATTAGAAATAGATCAAGAAGAAAAACAAAGAACTCATCAGAAAAGAGAACACTGACCACGTTAAATGTCCCTCATTGATTCCCTAATCCAGCCCTATAAAGTTTGCCCTCCATACCCACAGATTTCAATGCAAATTGAAAATATCTGAAAAAAGCAAATGTACCTATACTAAGCAAGTATAAGATTTTTTTCTTGTCATTACTCTCTAAACAATACAATTTAACTATTTACGTTGTAATTATATAATACAAGTAATATAACATGATTTAATGTATATAGAAAGATGTATGGGGGTTATATGCAAATAAGAGACTTAAACATCCTCAGATATTTTCGCATCCATGTGTCATCCTGGAACGAACCCCCCCCGCTCCATTACCAAGGAGTGACTGAATAATCAATTCTATTCTAATTAACCCTGCTTAGAGTCTGCTTTTATATAACCATCTGCTTATTGGATAAACAAATACTGTGGACCGGAGTTAGCACCTGGCATAGCCTGACATGTGTCTCCTCACAGTGGCAATGTCAGCTCACATTGGAAAGCCCACCAATGAGTCAACTCCCTGGCCACAGTGTGACCTTGAGCGTGTGCTTCGGTACCATGTCTTAATAAGACTGTGTTTCACCTATGTAGTACCAGATGCCTCCAGGCAAGATGAGGGCAGTCCAGAGACTTCTTACTGATGACAAAACCCAATGACTCTGGTTCAATAACCAACCATTTTTCAGGTTTGAGAAAGTAGAAACTTCTTTTAGAGTTTAAGACATAGCTACTTTATGAGGATTTGGTTAATTACTTCAGTGACAGCAATGACAAATCACTGGAGGCTTTCTACTTATCTGGGTACGTGTGCAATGTCTAATGAATGAAACATATTTGCATTAATAAATTTAGCACAGAAAAGGCTGTTTCTCTTTTGGACTTGATTGTCCCCTCCCCCCATTTCCTCATTACAGGCCCTAATACACAGCCAAACTAATTAAGAAATGTGGAGCAAACTATTAAGGTGCTCATGATTTCTAGCACCTCTGTTGCTAGAATTGTCGTGTCACAAATACAATGCTTTAGTCACCTAGAAAGTTCCAAAAATGGCTTTGAATGCAAAATTACCTTTACAGTTGTATTTTTCTAAATAATAACATAACTACAGTTGTAATTGACTATATAAGTAGCCAGAGTGACCATGATACTAGTTTTTTAAGTAAACCTAACAACAGGTAGCAGGTGACTTTATCTTTTATATGTGACAAGTTTTAGCTATCTGATTTAACAAATCAATAATATTAACAAAAGTGAGCTAGTTCTCAAATGCTCAGAGTAAGTACATTCTAACAAGATAAGAATCTCTGTTGTTTGTGCAGAGTACATAAAGGTAAAGAATGACCTTCCAGGGCTGGCAGAGTGACTCAAACATGAGGCCCTGAGTTCAAACCCCAGTACCACCAAAAAAATAAAAAGAACACCTTTTCTTTACAGAAAACTGAATATTCCAAGATCAACTTTAGGGTCCCTCACCCTTATCATAGATGTTTCTCTTGTTCATTAATATTAATATGTATTTATGTATGTGCACAAGCTTAAACATAGCTACAGATAGCTATGTAACAATACCAATTTTAGCTTTCAAAGTTAACTTTAAAATATTATTAGCCTTATTATCATATTAAAAGATAATGTATATGCAACACTCAACTGAAGCTTTATAAAAACAAGTCAAAACTGTGCTTGGTGACTCAATATTTATTCTCCATGAATTTTAACCTCTTTAAAAAGGCTATGGATAACTGAAGACTTCCCATAAGTTTACACAAGACATTAAAGTTGACACTTCAGAGCAGCATAATCACTGGTGATATTAAAAGGTTGTGAAAGAGAGGAAATT